AGCTCTTGTGAATTTATGAATTCCGGCCCGGATCTCACATTATTACTAGGAGATCTCAGCGTTCGGGGCCATCGAATGAAGACGGGTCTCTTCCCTCTCTCTTTCTTTCCCCTCCTTTTCTGTGCATGGATGAGAAAAATTATTCAAAGCTCGCCGAGTGTGACTTATATAAAGGTGATTTTGTCTGGTGACATCCTTCCATTCCGTCATTTCGGTATTCCGAATCCCTGGAAATAACACGAGCAGTTGAATTGGTAAAAAAAAAAAAATTTGAAAAAATGGTTGAAACTGGTGATATTTTGAGCAGGCAGGTCTACGCTTATGAAACGACTTGATTGCATCGTAAGATGCGAGGGAGTGTGTTCGAGTAGATGAACAGGAGTAGGAAGCTTCAAACAGAAGGAAACACTGCTCTCTACTCTGGAGCAGATCCCGTGGGACAAGGGGGGAATGGGGTTTATCACTGACAAATAAACGACTATATCAAATCTTCTTCAAATCTTCTCTACGGTGGCTATGTGACCAGAGAAAAAGAAGTAATTGACCTCCATTACTTTCCCACACTTCAGGACCACTTGCCTTTGGTTGGGGTTGGGTCACATGGGAACACCCAGACAGACTGGCGCTTTTTCTCTGGGTCAAATTGATATATCCAAATTCAGTCTTCTGTGATGATGTCATAGACGGCTTTTAATGGTCCAGAGTTGAATTTCTGGAGCAGGAATTCCCATCATTCCACTCAGACTTCCTTTTGACTTGGAGTGAGATCGTGAGGGATCCATAGGCTGTTAACCCTCCCTTGACCAAGATGCCTGTGCAGGATCTCGCTCACTGCCGATGACCCAACCTCAAGTCATGCCTGAGTGCCCTCATTTGTAATTTGATTGTCCCCTTCAAGCACCTTCCATGCAATGGCCCCATTTGCATGTCACTGGAGTTGATGGCCGGCCAAAGCGAAGGTTCATCCTTCAAAGACACACTCCCCCTCCGAATCCCTAGGAACCAATCAAACACTGTACTACGAGAAAGCGTTTCCTTTCCAAAGGCCCGTTGTGGGAGTTCAAGATTCTCCTTGGGGTTAAGTCCACTTTTGAAGTAATCGAAAATCATTATTCGGAAGCATTCGGGTGACTAATTCATCCTGAATTCAAATAATTCCTGAGCATGAAAAGTACATAAAATTATCAAACCGGTTCAAGGTAACGATGAGCTCTGAAAGTTTTTGAATAGGATTGTATTGATTGTCTTTACTCGGAGAAAAATTCTCAGCCTGAGAGGAGGCATCAGAGGGCCACATCCGGAAACTTTTTGTGCAACTCTCATAATATGATGGGGGAACGTCAGCAACCAAGACTTACTATAATTAACACAATGTTCAGTCATCACGAGCGCAGATTCTTCACCTGGATATCGCCTGATCCGCAAGGAACCTGATAAGTTACATTATGATCCAAGAGAGGGTGCTCCCAAATGTGCTGAACAGCAGAAAGACGATTACATAACAGCAGAAGCGATGGAAGAACGAGGAGTAGCCATGATAAATATGACGCACGTGGTCTGCAATATCATCTGGAAGAAGCCCGTTAACTGACAGCGATCGTCATACTCATCCCTAGGAAGGGCATCTTGACGATATGAAGAAATAGCAGGATAATATTTTTGATCTCTCGTGCTCGCAAGATCTTGCTCGTCGTCATTCTGAGCACATGAAGGCCGGAATGGAGATGGCACAAGAACACATGGGGGTGGGGGAGTTTTTGGGGTTCAACCTCCTCCCCATTGTGACCCCTCACCCATGAACTTATATTGTCGCCATCCTCAACTTCAGCACAGGAAATTTTGCGTCAATTCTCCCAATCAGGGGGGGGATCAGGGGGATGGCACAGGACCACCGCTCCAATGTAGAGCTGACCATTCGCTCAACATACCCTCGGCGAAGTTTCTGCCACCAGATCTTCCCCATGTGAAAATCCGGGACGCGTTACTGCCCTCTATGAAATCTTATCGACACCTCTTATCTCAATCCCTCAAAAACGTCTAGCTGTCATTACATGCAGGGTTGTAAGAAAGAAACCATCTATTGTTTGGCCATAACTTTGGGACAGTCGGATACATCCGATATTTGGCCTTATAGTTCATCGGACTATAAGGATTTCTTCCATATACGCCACATGACAGTGCATGTGGGTAGAGATGCTATGGTCGCATGTGCAAAAGCAAACATTGGATATGAGGGTTATGAATACGGGTGACATAAGGAACGGGTGAAGGCCTAAATATAGAATTAGGTCTGGCTTTCGCAACACTCAAGACAATATAGCGAAACAGTGCACACGCATTGCATCCATTAAATTTTAATGTCAAATTGAAGAAGCTGGGAGCTGAAATGAGCATCGACAACCGTTCAGAAGACTCAAGATACGGGCGAACCCGAGAACAGGACGGAAAGTGACACGCGTTGCAAAACGGGTGAGGTAGGGAAGCTTTCTGGGATGAGGAATTTCCCGCGCGAGCATAGCAACATTTTATCAGAACCACATGAACGTTGATTTTCAGACTTCCTAGCGTTGCAGTAGAGTCACAGCCGAACAATGAGTCAATATTGTAATGTCGTTATCGTTATGACCCTGATAAACGAGTCCTCGTCAACATGTCCTCGTTTTACTAGGACTTGCAAAAATGCTTTGCCTCGGTGCATTTACGACTAGCTTCGCTCAAGCAAGTCCTTTCGAGTGCTTGCTTCGACTATCCCCTCGGTTCAAATTTTTAGAAGGCTCGTATGCAAATAGCGCTCCGATTGGTGTAAGAGTCGCATATGAATTAATCGACGTGAGGCTCTTGGCTCTCCTCCATGGCAAGAAGAGCACGAACTCACATTTTTCTTATTGCCCTTGTGTTCCCATTTTAATATTTTATCCGCAAGGGACCCAGAGTCAGGACTCAGTCGCGAGGAAAGACTCCTTTCATGATGGCACGTGCCATCATGAAGATAGAACAGAACTGGAAAGACATTGAGTAATGCGAGTATTGAATTGCGCAACTTTCTCGACCACGAATTGGACAAAGTCAGTTGGTGCATTCGAAGTGACGACACTTCGAGGCAAGAGGAAATGCCGCCAGCTGAGACGTTTGCAGTTCGATCGTAGTTCCTCGCTAATGGCGTATCGGTTGCCGCGATGAAGACCAAATCGATGGCAGTCGGTCGATCGTTAACGCAGGACTCAAGAATCTTAATGTGTCATCGAGATTTGAAAGCCTAAAAATAGCTGTAAAATTTCCTTAACCTCAGTTTCCTCCATTTGCTATTTCACGGTGAGACATCCTGTATATCTTCTTTGAAGTAGGGCTGTACTGGTGGCCACTTTTGGCCGATTATGATCTCACACCCCTCGGCCAGTGTCTTTTGCCGATGCCCATTGTGACTAGTAAAAGACACTGGCCAAAGACACTGGCCGAGGGGTGTGAGATCATAATCCATTATATCAAATACTCATTTGAATTGGCCTATGATGAGGTCATGTTCTATTGTACCTGTTTCTTTTTCTTTAGTACAGCCACGATGGCTGTTTTGAAAGCAAGGTGTATCGACCCGAACTATGGTGCATCGATGCATCCACGTTGGGGGACTGAATACCCCCTCCCCCACTCGTGGGGGGATTCAGTCATATTACGTCTCGATTGAGCGGAGCTTTCATGTCCGTCATTTCTTGCCTCCGTCGGGGTGCAGACCTCTTTCCGCCTTCTGTCGCTTCTCATCCGTGATCGGGGTGGGAGGAGGTGGGGGGGAGTTTGACCATCGCTATGGAAAATGAAGTCAACGATACATCATGACAGCCCTACTCTTTTTCCTGTTGCGGTTGAGAATCATTTACCTTAGCGCGTTCACATGTTTTATTTATTTATTTTGTTTTTCCTCGATTGCCATGTTCTTCGGGTACCGGAATCGGTGACTTGCAAGCCTACCGATGGCCTCCTCAAAATTTTCTTCGTTTCCACTCTTTCGGAAATTAGACTGTCCTAAAGATCGATTCCAATGGCATGTCCGATCTCGGAATCCGCTTATGGTTGCCGCGGGGGCTTTACTTGAATATTGCCGGTGCCATTCCGACGGTCTCGCAGGAGAACATTCGACAATGGATGACGGAGTTATGCAGCTACTCTATAGCAGTACAACTTCCTCATCTATTATCAGGCACGAGTTTTTGCTCTTTTCTACTTCGATTAACTGATACTTTCTAACTTTCGAGCAAGCGGAGGGAAGTCCTTTCTTGAGTCAACTTTGTGTACACTTCTTGCTTTCTCCTCGTAAAAAAAATTGCCTCGTGAATTGGGTCCTCAATACTCCGGTGAACACTAAAGTTCAACATCAGTTGAACGTCACCAGCATAGTCCATAGCAAATCTTTATAACATAACCAATAACACAACCATTAATTTTGAATCTCTGTAACTTTGGCATAGCGGTACATATGGACAATAAGCCAATATTCAGAAGAACGCTCTCTCCGAGTCCATCTTCCCGAGTAACAGTATGTCGATGGAACGTTTACGAAAAGTTGCCAATGTTGCTCAATGTTGCAAGTTGATGAACAACATTGATAAAGCATTGCTTCGACGTTTTTCACTTTTGAGCTCTTGGAAAGTTGCTGAGACGCGAATGTTATTGCAACATTTGCTGTCAATATTGAAAGAAAATTGACGCTGTTGACAATGACAACGTAGCGACAACATTCTGATACAATTTACATTTAGAAGTTTTAAGGGATTATAAAGTTGTCCTCTTTGCCACGAGATGGAGGCATAGGTCTCGCTTTTCTCAATACACAAAAGCGCCCTTCTTCCTTTCTCTGGAATCGTCCTTCAAGGGAGTGTTTAGTACCTTGCCATACGTCTTGCCTAGTCCCATTATAAGAATCAATGAACGCGGACACTTCATCATTTATTATCCCCATATTCGAGACAGATTCACGGAGATTTTTTTTTATCCTATAGAGAAGAACAATGATAGTCTGTGGATCCTATATATCATTTTCTTCTCCTGGAAACAGGATGGGGATGGATGAGTTTGCGGTTATTCCATAGAAGACTGTGGGTGGATCATTCCATGAAATGTGTTATAATTAGCACATTAATGGGAAGATTGACTTGCAAAATGTACTCTGTCTCCTGTCTATTAGCAACTTTACATGATATAGTGCTGTTAAATACATTAGCAGGGGTTATACTAGTACAGGCTTCGTCCTGAATGAAATAATTCAATATTGGCAGAATATCGGTCCAGTGAGGCCACCAATGAAGCTAATGCTTTTCCGGGTAGTAATGCCTATATAAGTCCACATTAGGTGCCAGTGAGGCAACGTTTTCCATCAACATTGCAGTAACTTAAGTTTAACAGTCCTGAAACGTTACTGCAGCATCTACAGGGTACCCGTAAATAGGTACCCATTTTTATTTCTTGAATACTACAAGCATGCACAACTTTCCAGTTGAAACTTATATGAAACAGTTAGAGTAATCTTGGAAGTTTTGTTTAGTACTAAACATGTCCACCTTCTCTTTCAATACAAGTCTGGATACTATGAACAAAATTATCCATAACTTTTGTCCAGATGACAAGGGATATGCCCTAAACAACATTAGTGATGCTATCTCGTAGCTCATCCAAGGACTGGGCCCGTGGCATAAACTGTTCTTGAAAAAAAAAGTGAATTGAAAGAGAAGCTGGACATGTTTAGTACTAAATAGAACTTCAAATATTATTCTAACTGTTCCATATAAGTTTAAACTGGAAAGTTGTGCAAGCTTGTTGTAATCAAGAAATAAAAAGGGGTATCTATTTACGGGACACCCTGTACGTAACGATTTGCAACGTCAATGCAACGCTCTTTAACAACATTCGACAACGTTGGAGAACGTTTCGGACATTTACACATTGAAGCAACACCGTTCATCATCATTATTGAAACGTTGCTGGAATATTTTGCGTTGGTCGTAAGGTTTTAGCAATTTTACAGAACAAAAACCTTTCTATTTGTTTCCACCACACGTTGGATCCTCATCTTGTGATAGAAGCGCAAGATTCATTAAGTGGCATCGATTGTCACATCCGACTCTATCTTCCCAAGTGGAAAAAGAAGAGGTACATACGGCCCTCTCAAACAGGCGTACAACATTGTTCATTTTTAAATGAGATACAAACCATCACTTCCTATTGGTTCATGGAGTGAGTTCTCTAGACTAGCAATTCCCATTTCTCCATCCTCTGGGCTAGAAATGTGTGGAATCTCCCTGGGACAGACAACCTCTTGAGACAAGTGCTTCAAAGAATTCCAAAATCTTCCCTTAAGTTGGAAATGCTAAACAATATGGTACCATTGGGGACTTGCTGCAATGGCATCGAGGGGTGACTTGACATCGGCGATATAGGCAGCACCTACCTTCCTTTGTGGGAACCAGGTTTGCTCGAATAAATGTCAATTGGCTTTCGCAGATAGGATTTGGACAGGAAAGTGCGCCCTACATGTCAGGAGTCCCCATTGAAACAGATAGAGAACTTCAAGTACCTCTGGTTCTGGTTCTCGACTGATGAGCGATATGGAAACGAGATCCAAAGTCACAAATCCAGGGCTTCTGCGGTTTCGCTGGAACTCTGACGGATCGAGGTTGCCAAAACGGAAACTACTAGAGAGGAGAAACTCTTGGCTTTTAAAAGCGTTTATCTCCACATCACCAATCAACGGTCATGAACTTCGGGTAGACTTAATGTCCGAAAGAAACAGATAACCAGATACAAGCTGCCTCGATGAGGCTTTTATGTCGGGTGACCAGTATCACGTGTCTTCATAGGATTTGGATCGCCGCCATCCGTGAAGGTTCGAGGTTCGATTAGGGACATCGAGAGGCGCTTTCGGCCATTATGATGTCCCGGGTCAAGGTAGAGTGTTCATGTATGAGTGTTCATGAAGACAGGGCTACCCCTCTTAAAGATAGATATTTTTGTGGGAGCAAATTCACCTACTGCCTAGCCGCCTTTTCCCCCTCGCATCCTCCTCTTAGCACAAACCAATTTATGTGAGGCATATGTTAAAAGAGCAAAATTGCTGAAGGAGCAAATCCTTCTTCGACTTTTCGTTAATGCTACTCATCAACGCATAAAAACGATGTCATTCATTTAGCGGCCTATAGCAGATTCCTAACAAGATCCTCCCTGTCACCCCACAAATTAAATGTTCAATTGATCCACAATAGAAGTAAAATCCCTCTTTCAATATTTATTTCTTCTTCGAAAATAAAGCTTTAAGCTGAAAATAAACCGGGTACGCGTGTTGCGTGCCCTCGACAAGACGGAAAGGCCTCATTCCAAATGACTGCAGGCTCCCGACGAGTTGACAGCCTTCGTACAGGGTGAAAGGATTTTGTTGACTTGGTCGATCCAGCTCTTGCCTGACAGAGGCTCACCACCGGGCCGAAAAAAGTTCTTATCTGGGATATGATGGGTACAAATAGAGCTATTTCAGTGCCCTGTGCAATGAGACTATCAACCCCCCCCCCCCCCCCCCCCCAGAAGGGAGAAGGGTTAATCCTTAGCGTCCAGAAGCGCGTCGAAAAAGCATTTCCACTTTCTGAAGTAAAATTGAGAGTGGCATCTATTATTGCTTCATTTATTCTGGCCCGTTTTGGCACCCCAGGTGAATTTGTGCCCAGTGCGGGGGCACATGTGGCACATGTCTTAGGCGACTCTGACCTTATAGATTCATCAGCTTCTCTGTCAAATATCAACTGAATTCAATAATCTCTTCCATAATTCTAACGAAACGAATCGAGAGGTTTCCTTTATCTGCCCGTAATTGGAGGAGGGGGACATTGATCAGATTTAGCCAATAGTTCAAGCAAAAATGTCATAGGGAGATGGCGTTGTTGCATACAAGGTAATACTATGTTCCCAGCTGCATATGTCAGCATCATCTCATAAAACTTTTTGAACTGTGGAGTGGTCCAGCATGAAGTGTGATTCATGCGAACGTGACTTATGACGTCATCGCAGCATGGCGCAGTCCTTAGTCATTCCTCATTGAATCGTCAGTCTTTGTAGTGCTCTCATCCTGTTCACACCCTGTGGCCTTTATAGACAATGTTTTCTGGTGCAGCCAGCTTTGGCAAACTCAAGACAAACTTGAGATTGGCCGTTAATCGATTGAAACTCCTGGAGAAGAAGAAGACAGAACTGGGCCTTAAGGCAAGAAAAGAGATAGCGGATTACATCGCAGCTGGGAAATATGAGAGAGCCAAGATCCGCGTGGAGCATATCATTCGGGAAGATTACCTTGTGGAGGCAATGGAGATCTTGGAAATGTACTGCGACCTCCTTCTGGCCCGATTTGGGCTCATTCAACAAATGAAGTAAGTATAATGTCAGGCCTAAATTAGGTTTGCCTCATTCATTCATTGTGATGGGTGAAGTCGTAGACCCTCGACAAGCCTAACTTTAAGTCCCTCTTAAGTCTAAGGCTGAACTTTTCAGCCTGATTTATGATTGAAATGTAGCCAAGACTACATTGTCATTGGTGGCCGCAACACAGTCAAGTGAGCATGATTTAGTCAGGCCTCATGGAATTACGTTAGAATTGTGTGTAGGTTTGGTAGGCCTAGGTTTATTGTATTTTAAGCCCAACTATACATTTAATAGGATACTCCCATTGTTTGTATATGAAATATTTTCAGAGGCCTTGATGATGGACTCCAGGAGGCAATATCAAGTTTGATTTGGGCTGCGCCTCGTCTGCAGACTGATGTTACAGAACTCAAAGTCATCTCAGAACAGCTCACTGCCAAATATGGCAAGACTTATGCTCAGGTAAAAGCTTAGTAAAGTGTACTAGTGTTATTAATGTTCAATCAACCTCTTTCTAGACTGAAAAGAACATATGTGATTGATACATTTGTAGATTGCTAATTTATCCTTCGTTTCTGCAGGCATGTCGTGAGAATGCAGTTGGGACTGTGTCAGAGAAACTTATGCACAAGCTGGGAGTCCAAGCTCCCCCAAAGCTCCTTGTAGAGAAGTATCTCATTGAGATTGCCAAAAGTCATAATGTGGAGTATGATCCTGATCCTCAGGTGAATTTTAAATTTTTTACAGAGCTAATCTCCTCCAGTTATTAAGCAGTCAACTTTTGTGGTTGTCTTATGGTTATCATCAAATTGTTAGTCACTATTCTCATGGATGATCGTGTAAACTATGGAGATACCATCATTCTTTCATCAGTACCAACTAATGTGACATTACCAGTGCTCCCTATTTTCAATATATTTTTCAAAAAATTATACTTTTGCTTACCCTAGGTCAATGGACTTATTGTTCTAATATGTAATATAATTTTTCAAATTCAGTCAACTGGTTCATGCAAATTGTAAGTTTTTCTTTTGTAGAATTATCTTCATTTCTGTCATGCAAGACAGGAGTTTTTGAGATAGAATGATATGATAATGAGATAGACAGGGCACAAAATAGATTTTTAAAAATTGATAAGACAAAAATTTTGCATTGTAGGTGATGCGAGATGATGAGGCAATGATGGGGACAGATGCTCTTTTGATTGATATGGAAGGTCGAGGGCACACTCGGGAAGAAGCACCTCCACATCCTCCAGGATTTGTCTCTTATCCTTCTGAGCCCCTCCCTCCTCACAAGCCCTTTGACTATGTACAGGCTTCCTTCACTTTGCATGACATTTCAAATTTAACTCAGAAGCAATCAAAGTATAAGTGAATATTGAACTGTGATCCACATGATACAATCATTATTGAAAAACTCTGAAATTATATTTGTTATTGTCTTCAAGGTTGATAGTGTTTTTCTTCCCAGCAGCCTGGTGGAGGTGAGAAGATCCCTTTTAACCCAAATGCATTTGATCCATCAGTAGATGCACATCCTATGACAACAGCTGCTGTGAGTTGAACTCCTGAGCTCCTCATGATCCTGTAATTCTTGTAATTAGGCATGGGAAAGGCTATGATTTGCTTGAATTGAAAGTTGACTCAGTGGTTCAATATTATGTGAGCCCATGCATTTTGCAGATGTAGAAGCAGGAGGATGAGCAATCAAACTCAAAAATGCCTTTAATTTGAGAAAATATGTTGAAATTAGGACTGTCAAGATGGCTGCAATGTAAACATCAATGCATTGACCAAAACTTACACTGCTGCATCAATGTAATAGGGAAATTATGTAATGACCCTGAGTGTTATGGAGAAGAGGGGAAGTTGCCAGTGGATTCCATTATCCATTATCTCTCATCATGATCAAAGGAGATACTTCACCTTTCTTTACAATTGTTTGAGTGAAGGTGGCCACCTTCTGTCATCTCTTGTCCCAATTTGGGGAGGTTGCTAAGTGGTACAAGTGCAATATTGATCAAATCATTGCCTCCAACTATTCATAGTGGCATCGATGCATCATGGCTGTCCTAGTTAAAAACCTTTTCTTAATATATGCATTTTGTCTTGCAAATGTCTCTTTTGATGGTGTCATGGGCCAAAGCCAGATATCACAGGGATGATGCATGATTCACAAGGTCGCATGAATTCACTGTCCAATGAAAGGATAATCTGAAGTTGGAGTGGTAGGAGGTGATGCATTTCAAGAGCACAAAGTCCCTCCCTTGCTCATAACTTTAGTCCTGTGGGAGCTGACCATAATTTTTCTTTCTGCTGGTAATGTGGGAGATGTGAGGCATATTCAAATATAAAATATAGGGCCACTCTTTAGGCTGACACTCAAAAGAACAATGACACTGTCATGGAGAGGGTGTCATTTTTCCTTCGCTGCTCTGTAAGCAAACCCTCAAGTTTATGAGTAATAAAAAAAATTAGGATCCTCAATGGTTTTCTGACATTAGCACTCCTCTCAGGATCACCCCCCACCATAAATAGGATGATGGGTGTTGGGGGGGGAGCAGAATTCAAGGGTGTCAGCCTAAAGAGTGGCCCAACTATACCATCTACAGTTGCTACCAAAGCTTTCGGCATGGTACTTGACTGTTGTTGAGCAGTAATCTTTGCTATTCCTCTAGACATTTTTCATTATCAAATCAAGGAATCAAAATCAGCTTGTATCTTCACGTATTATATATGAGGGGCATTTCAAATTGTAATGCATAATCCTTACTTTTCTTATGCAGGGTGGGCCACTTAAAAGTAACCCGTCTCTGGTCCGAGCGTGGCGGAGGTGGTCGCCCCTTGCACACTGTTCTTACCGACTGTCTGTCTGTCGCAGTATTATAGGAGGCAGGCTACTTTTAAGTGGCCCACCCTGTAGAAAGACATATGTCTTTGATGGAGGCTGGCAAAATTGCATTTCATTTGTCTGCTGAAGGGTCTGTTGAAAGGGTCTTAAAATTGAGATGGGTACTGTGATGGATTTTCAAACCTTGAAGGAGTTGATATTCTGACTGAATCTTTCTGCAGCTAAGACGATAGTGTCCTACTGACTGCCCCCTAAATGATCTCCTTGGAGATTGACTCCTTTAAGTTTGGAAAATTCATCACAACATTTATCTCCATTTTACCACCCTTTCAGCCAGTCCTTTGGTTGCACATTGAAAAGATTCATAGAAACTGCCAATTATTTACAAATGAGATGAAGTTTTGCAAGTCCATGTAAACTACATATGTCTTCCAATAAGAAAAGTAATAATGGTGTATATAACAACTGGGAGTGTCTTAGGCTGAAAACTTTTTGTAAACCCCTCATACTTCAGTGCTTCTCAGAAGTGTATGGAAATTAGATTTAAAAAGAGTGAGTGAAGCATGATTAGAAGACAGGAAATCAGCAAGATCCAATTTTTACACACAGGTTGATTATGAAAGTTTTTTTGTGGACGATATGTTGATGAGTTAATAAGCTATATCTGATGTGTGTTATGAGGCTCATGAAGCACTCATTGGCACCAATAGTTTTGGATACTAGCATTCCCTTTTCAATTTTATGTTTTGGTTAAATGCCTGTCACTTTTATTTTTCATTTGTATATTGTCTCACATTCTCCTGTATATAATCCTCTGGATTTGATTGGGAATTTTTTTTTATGGGGGAATGAGTAGAGAAAGGCACAGGAGGCAATGGGGACAGGAATGAGTGGGTACCCTGGGTATGGCACAGGGGGATACCCTGTTATGCCCCCCTTCCCTGATTCTCCTCCACCATACAGCAGCATGCCATTTGATGTCAATCGACCAGGGAACCACCCTAGCACTCCTTCAAATGTAGGTTTTGTTTGTGCTTTTAAATTTCCTTCCCTTTCAGTCCATTCAGTTGTGTTCTTCCTATTTCGGTGGGTTTTTTTTATTATCAGCACTCTTTTGGCATAGCACATGTTTTTCTAGTTGTGCTCTTGAGCTATGTAGAGCTTAGCATATGTTTGCATGCACAAGCAACTGTGGCCACTTGTTATGTGCGTGCTAGCATTTTTGTGATGTGCATGCTACCCTATATTTGTGGTTTCCATGCCTGAAAGATAGGCTTTGAAGAAATCACCCTGTCCTGTTTTAACGTTTTGCATTTCTTTTCCATATATAGTGAAAGAAAGAAAAAATTAGAAAGACAAAAGTAAGCTCAGTTCTTTAAAAAGTGGAAGGATGCTAAATTAGTTGATATTTCTTGGAAAAGTAGGGTAAAGGTATTGTAGGTTATCAACTAAGTCCAACTGGCAGCCTGTAGGTTGATTCTGTTCAGCCCTCAACAGTTTTCAGGTACAAGGAATTATGGTGGAGTTCATCTTTGGGGGAAAAAACGTTAAAGTAATTCCTGTGATTGTAACTTTGATATGTCATTGAAGTTATAATTTTCTGACTCACTAAGAGGTGAGCTGTTCTACTGTGATTGATTCTTTTCCATAATTGGAAAACCAGTGTTAAATGTTCTCTAGCATGTTCAGGGTTTTAATATCGCAGTCCAGCTTGGGGAAATTTCTTGTATGTCCAAATGAAAACTCAATGGAAAATGGTCAAGTTGGTTGTAAAACAAGCAAAAGCATACTATAGAAAAGCAAGCCAAGAGGAAATCAAAATCTTAGAAAAATGATGCAAGCTATGTTTGCTTAAGTTTTGTGTTAAACAAGTTGGTGAAATGACTCATTTTGAGTGTGTCGAGGTTTTGTCATCAGAGTCTTGGTTCTAAGTAAATTGAGGTGACATTTGAAAAGCTAGCACTTCCAACAAAAAGAAGTGTACAAATGATTGCCTTGACCGTGATAGTGCAAAATAACTCTTTTCATGAACAAGTTTAGATATTCTGAACTTAAGAATTGTGTTCTACCCCTGTATTATTGGCTCTGGCAGTGCATGGGACTATGCGAGGCTACCATGAATGTGTCAAAAAAGGTTGAGAACCACTGCTGTAAGTGATAAGTACTTGGCACCCATGGCATCCCTGTCAGCTTCTTGTACAGGGTTTCCATAAAGTGACTACCTATGAGAGAAACTTTTATTATTGACACTAAAGTAGCCATTTTTTTCATGCTTGTGGACTGACAAGACACCAACCTCATAATAGTGTCAGAACTTTCCTCCTTTCACTTTGGCATGGCCTAAGAAAGCACCAGGTTTGAGACATAGTTTTTTAGAATTTTTTCATTTGTTTGATTGGGAAAGGAATTTAGAGTCAAGTTCAAAGGAAAATTTGCCATTTGTCCTTATTGCACAAATTTCTTTTATTCAGCATAGTATTGATTAAGTAATGGAGTAATAATGAAAATCAAAATCATGACAATTAGGAGCTTACTCTACAATATTGTTGAATGTGTCGACTGCCAACTTCCAGACATTATAAAATTCTGTCACTTGCATTGTCAGCAACATCTGTGAGAAATTCCATAGTTCATCTGGCTCACAGCACAAGAGATATTCTCCTTAAGGTTGTTCAGATCTGTGGACTTGTCCATGTAAACAATGACTTTTCCTCACTCATTTTTGAATGCTGTATTCCATGTTTCTGAAACTGTAATTGAAACAAGGGTCTGGGAAATTAATATTCAGTCACACCAGAGTGGGGGAATGAAAGATGTGACACCATTCCAAGGTCTATAGATGAGCAGGCTACAAAACTACAAAAGGGAGTTCCCCAAGATTCAGTATGTAAATAGTTGCCATTGATAGTCACTCTATGGCAATGGTGCCCAACCTGAGACCTGCAGGCAAAAAGTGACCCTCAAGGTGCTTATAAATGGCTCCTGAGGCCCTAATCCACAATAAATACCCTTGTTTCCTTAAAATAGTCTCCTACAATACTAGTTACTGGCCCACGATGGCTGTGGGAGTGAGCTATGTGATTCTCTAGCCAAAAAGGTTGGGTACATCTGCTTTATGGACACCTTGTAGTACCTTTGGATGTTGCAACTCACTGGTTTAGAACTGTTGGCATAAGTCATAGAGACTGAAATTTCCACATAATTCCTCTTTGGAATGTAGAGGGATTTACCAGCCCATCATAGACCTGATTAAGTTGTAGTGCTTGATCTTTCTGTCTTAGGCCTAAAACCTACACTTTTTAAAGTGAATTCCCTTATTCATGTTCCCTTTGCTTGACATTTGTTTTTGGATTCACATGCTGTGTTTTTCATTAGGGTCCTGGAAAGCCAACCCCTGCACCCAGGAGCAAGACATCCCCTGGGTCAAGTCCTAGCAATGACCTGGGGCTCCCAGACCTCCCTCCAGTCCCTGACACTGTCCTTCCTGACATCCCACGGGACAATGACAACAATCGTCGTCCACCTGGTGGCTCCTCATCTTCCAACTCAAATCCATCTAACAGTGTGGATTTTGATGACCTTGCCAAACGATTTGAACAACTCAAGAAGCGCAAGTGAAACCATTGATAAGTCATGAGAAAAACTGGACTTATTCATGTCATTTTATGCCTGCAGTATGTACTTCTTTGTACATGTTGTGATTGCATGCTTCCTGTGATTTTCAATTGCAGGTGTTTTTTTAAGAGATGATCAGTAAAAGAGGTTTATGAAATCTGGAGACATAGGTTTATTATCAAAATTCTGTTAAGGTCCTGGTTTGATGAATGAATTTTTTATGTTAATTGTTAATATTTTCTGTTTCTTATCTGAATTCAAGTTGATGTGAAGATAACAAAATTACTATGTCCTCTACTATGCTTGTAAATATTGTAGAAAGCTTGCTTGCCTTTAGATGTCACTATTTTTTTAATTTTCAGCCATGAAGGAATGAATTACCCTGATATCTTTTTTTAGTTTTGTTTTATTCAAATTTTGTCACTCAGGTAGAATCACACTACCTTCTTGTATAACTCATTATCCTGTATTATGAGACTGAAGATTAAAGGTTATGGGTGAGAATGGCAGTGTTTCTTATTGACTAAGCTCAGGGAAGTGCTTGTGCATCACAAAATTGATTTACAAATATGACAATGTTTCAGAAGCTTGATACAGGTACTCCCAACAGTGAAACAAACCACCTCTAAGACCAGAGACAATAAAGTCAATCAAACATAAATTAGGAACCACAAGCTCTGTTCTTCATGCACCTGGAGCTGGTAGATCTAGAACTTACAACAGAAGCTAACAAACACCTTGTATCTGAAGCCATGACAAGGAGTTCAAGAAAATCTCAACATTGGCTTTCAGCAGAGACAAATATTTCCCGTTCCTCATTTCAAAGGCTGATGAAATCCTTAAATTTAAAGCCCTACTCATATTTGTAAATTAATTGCATGATACATAAGTACTTCTCTGCCTAGTCTATCAGAACCACTGCCATTCTCAGTCATGCTTTTATCTTCAATGAACTTGAAAAGAAATAGAAAATACTTTAAGAACCCAAAGAGAGAAAGGGTTCTTAACTAGGTATTTTGGGCCACCTTGTAGTTTAGCAAGTGGTGTAGGTCGCAAACCATCGTAAGAGACGCGACATGCACGAGCTGTACAATACACGATGAGGATTAGGATGGGATGCAAAAAAAAATTCAGAAGAAAATAGTCGTATCGAGGGCTTCTCTTTGTGTATTCTTCAATATGGCCTCCGTGCCTGGAGTGATGTTGGGAACGGTGACTTAAAAGAGCTTGAGGAAGCGCCTTCGAGCTACTGCGCCACATGTGCATCGTCCAGCCCTAAAACCAATAATCACATGGATTGAGATCGGGTGATCTCGTCGAGCTGCGAACATGAACCGGATTTACTTCGTGCCGCTTCCTTACTGGTTCAAATAATAAAATTCTCCCACTTCAGGACCATATTTTAAAGTCTGAAATTGTTCACAATTGGTCCTGTTGTGAACGACTGCTGATTTTGAGACGTGAGACTGTAAATGGAATGTTGAAGCGGGCATTTATGATCATACATTTCGCCTCCAAGAAAAAAGGATTCCTGAAAATTTTGCACAGGTGGCCTTCATACAACCATCCAATATTCTCTGAGTGGTCGATTTTCACCAGCAAAAGTGCTGTTCCATCTGGAAGTGGTGCTGCAAGAACTTGAAGAAAGTTTTCTTTCAGGTCTTTGCTGGAATCCTACTCTGACAGACAGAATGCTGTCCGTCAAGCAAATGGGGGTCAAACAGAGCATTCATAGCGTGTCTATATTTTCGAGATGTCATTTTGTTATAGTGTTTATTAAATTCTCATCAGACCTTAATCATCTTTTCTGAAGAGGTGGGGATTTAACACCATGTTCCACCCTGTGCATTGATATACATGGTGGCCCCCAAAAAGGCACACTTTTCAATGCGCATTTTAGGTGTGATGCTTTCGATGAAATTTTAGCCAGTTACATGTAAGAAAAGACTTAGAAGACATGAAGAAAGACTTAGCTGCAAAATGCTTCTTTCAGACTTGAAATCTTGAACGGTGACTTAGAAATTATTTTTTTTTAATTCAGTTACGAAAAAACCGGCTTTGCGCTCAATGACTGCCTACGGCGGCGGGCACATCCAATCATCCTCGCAACGATTGCTGAGGTCAACGTTTCCGTCCCCCTTCTCATGAGTGTCAGGCCGTCAAGAGGATCTTGGGTCGTGTCGGTGAGCGCAACGCCGATTTCTCATAACCGAATTTCAATCATTGTCTTTCTAAGTCACTGTTTAAGATATTTCAAGTCTGAAAAAATTCATTTTATAGCCATATCTTTCTTCTTTCCATTACATGTAACCGGCAAAAATTTCCCTGAAAGCATCATACCTAAAATGCACATTGAAAAGTGTGCCCTTTTGGGCGGCCACCCTGTGTATCTGATTGGAAAGAAAGTTCTCGGAATTTCATGAACAATTATTACAACCCAGTTTATTTAAAAGCAAAATCATCTCAATCATGAATGTAATCACCATTGGCCTCTATCACTTCACGCCAACGTTTATGCAAATTATGGATGCCATTCCAATAGAACTCTGGCGGCTGCGCTACGAAAAAGTTGGCCAAATCGGTTTTCAGGTCGTCTTGGTTGGCGTACTGCTTTCCACCCATGTGACGGTCCAGGGCAACGAAAAGGTGATAATCGGACGGGGCAAGGTCGGGGCTGTAGGGCGGATGCGGCAGCACCTCCCAGCACAGGTCCAGTAACTTCAGATGAGTCTGTCTAGCGGTGTGCGCCCGGGCATTGTCGTGGAGGAGGATGGTTCTCTGTCTTTCTGGGCGTGTTTCAGCCAGTTTCTGCTGCAGCCGATNTAGTAAGAGGGTAGGGCTGGTTCATGGCTGGAGAGCACCAGGGCTGTAATAATATACGGTTGTATGCCGAAGGACACGACCTACTTATAAACACACGCAGAACATTCTAGCATGCTCTGGAAAAAAATTGTACTGGATATTCAAGAAATTCCGAGAACTTTCTTTCCAATCAGATATTTGTTGCTTGAACTGTTCCAAAATTATTTCAATAGGGAAATCTGAAATAGCTAGGAGGAAATAAGGTGAATGAAACCCCTTATTTTCACCGTTGCAAGAATCGTTTTATTTCTATCAATGAATCCGTGAGAGTCGATTTGATTATATCAAATTTAAGTGGAATGATGGGGGCCAGGACCAAGACGATTCACTTCTTGCAGCAGCGGTCTGCATTCCTGCACTTGTCGGAACAAGTCTTGGGAGTCTTGTCGCATCCTTGCCCGCATCCCTGGGGCTTCTGCTGCTGCTGCTGCTGCTGTGGGGTGTTCTGATGATGGTGTTGCTGCTGATGGCCTTGATGCCCCCCCTTACACGAGTGTTCTGGACCCTTTCCGGACATCCTAGGAATTTCTGGTCGGTGGACGGAGAACGAATTTGATAGGAATATGGGAAGGAATTCCGAAACCTCGCGGTCACCGAAATTATGGCTACCCACGCTCTTCAACATCGATTACTCCCATGCAAGTTACTTTCTGTCGAGTAATAAACGCCTTAATCGGACATTGGTAGCCAATATACCAGCAAACCAACCTCGTCCACTCTCGCTACAGAATGTTTTTGAAGGAGAAACGAGACTATTTTCCACGTGGTTTCTGTTCAAAATTGACAATCTTAGAATAAAAGCAAACACGCAATTATTATCTGTTCCACAGCATTACGAATATTTTCCGTTGCGATGACACGAACGAAATCGGGAAAAGTTTTACTCGCCTACAAGAAGGCATGGGCATATCCGGGAACTTTATTCGCTAGCAACATGGAGTGACAGTAGAAAGAAAAGCTTATTTCCAATTCGTGGGATGCGTTTAGGTGAATCAATAAAAATCATGGTCAACAGCCACTAAGCAGAGACGTTCTCCTAACCATAATGTTATTGTCATACCAGGCTTCAGTAATGAAATAACGTAACGACAAGTATCTGCCGGGCACTGCCACCCCTTGCAAAATGAAAAGCGTTCCTTCGGTATTTGGTTGAAAGATAGAGAAATTTGACCTATTTTGGGAAGTAATGGGTCAGTTGCAGTAGCGTGCCCAGAAAATCCCAAGGTGGGAAGGGGTGGGGGGGGGGGGGTTGACACATGAAAAATTGGTAACCCACCCTGCAAGGTAGTTTAGTGGTATCAAGAGGCGATAACACCATTTGGATACCACGTGTCGAGGTCGAGCGTTCCGTAATTTTAGGGTAGGCCTACTCCTCTTAAAGCTAAATATTTTTGTGATTTTTCTTTTTTTAGCATATCCTAGTTGTTTACTGCCTAGTCCCTTACGTCAACATTACCCCCCTTTTTGCTTGTCCATAAAAGCATCTAGTTTCTTCTTTAAAATTGTCACGGAAGGGGCAGCGACTACGTCGTCATCTAACGCATTCCACGCGTTCACCACTCTACAAGTAAATAATTATTGTCTCGACCTGAGCCGCACCTGCAGTTTACGCAATTTGAGTTGATTACCTCTCGTTCTCTTGCTGCCATCGAACTGGAAGAACCTAAAACGCTCTACATCGTCTATTCTTTTAATTATCTTGAATGTCTGGATTAGATCGCCCCTCCTTAACCTTCTATCGAACGAGTACAGTCCTAACACGTCTAAACGCTTCTCTTACGTAAGTCCCCTAACCTCCGTAATCCCTTAATCATTCTTGTGGCCCTCTGTACTGCCTCGAGCGCCATCAATTCACCCTTATTTGTAGGCCTCCATAACTGGATGCAATATTCCAACTGGGGTCTTACCAGCGCCGCATACAACTGAAGAATAAAGCGCAAGTTCCTACTTTCAACCGAACGACGAATGAATCCAAGATTCCTGTTGCATTTGGCCACCGTCGCTTGCGCGTGCGAGGAAAACGAGGTCATCGTCGGTAAAAAAAAAAAAAAAAAAGACTAAATCTTTCTCTCCGTTTGCCTCCCCCAGTTTATCCTCGCCAAACGCTTCGAGAGACCTATCGTTATTTCGACCGACGTGGAGAACTTTACATTTACTTTTATTAAACTTCATGAGCCATTTCTTGCTCCACTCATCCAAAAAACTCAAATCTCGCTCGGCTCTAGCCCTGTCCGGCTTCCCCCTTATAGAAAAACCAATTTTTGTGTCGTGCAAATTTACTTATCATACCCTCTACGCCTAGATCCAAATCGTTAATGTAGACCAAAAACAGAAGTGGCCCCAGGACGGAGCCCTGCTTGCGACACCGACCTCCGTCGATGCTTCCCCATTTACCGTGGAATGACTCGTTGCTCTCTTCCCGTCAACCAGTTACTGATCCACTCGCTCGTCCTACCCTGGATCCCGTGCGCCTCCAGTTTAACCCGCAATCTCTTGTGAGGAACGGTATCGAAAGCTTTCACGAAATCTAAATAGACGATGTCCACGGGATTCCCCTTATCCCTTTCTTCCGTCGTCCAATCGTAGAATTCGAACAAATTGGTGAGACAATTACGACGCCTCCTAAAGCCGTGCCGAGAGTCCCGGATGAACGCGTTTCCTTCGAGAAAATCCAAAATGTGGTCCCTTAGGATGCTCTCATGATCTTCCCCTCCTCCCCTCCATGATTTATTTCCTTAGTCTGCGGCGGTTATCCCATATACGAGGTGTGATTGAAAAGTTCGTGGACTAACGCCGCCACGCGCGTCAGACTAGAGATAGACGCATTATGTCTAGACTGCATGAAAACCTGTTTTATCCTGCACGCCACGCCCCTTACCCCGTCCTCATACGTTGCGTCAATGTTGCACAGTCAGTTGTTGAGTGCAGACGTGTTTTTCTGTTTTGGATAATAATATGAAGCCGCGACAGAATGCAAGTCATTGGAACGAAGTTGCAAGTATCGGCATGTTTCTTCGGACCCTCGGGCCAGAAGTACATGGAATTTTCTTCTGCCGTGTTACTTCTTTAAACGGATCTATTTAGAAATTCCAAAGCCTTCCTCTAAGTTGTACGCGGGAAAAGATTGGGTACTGAACGAAAAATACAGGAGGCTCATTGCAGTGGCATCAGGGTGAGAGTCGCTAAATCGGCGGTGGACGCCATCTCGCGCCAATTGATAGTACTTGTTGAGACAACGTAGATAACTCCATGTTATCTATAAAATACTATCGAGACGTTGGGGAAGGCAAATGGGAAAAATGAATTAGCTCTCAGTAGCCTAAAAACGACTTCGCTAACCCATGAGTAGTATCTACGCTGTGAATACTGAAAATGAAATCCTGATAATCATGATGATCTGAAACTCCCGGCCCGCGGGCCGCATTCGCATGGAAACGCCCTATCTGCCGCCGCGAGTTTGAGCTCCTTGATCTAACGTGTTGATCCAGCCTGAATTTGTATGCCTGAGGTCGGGAGATGGAGTGCATCGTGTGTGCAGATGAGCGAAAAATTAAAGAAACTCGGATAATCTCATTGTCAACCTCAATCATGGCAAACCATAATTCCTGTGGATAACGTTCGCGCATAAATTTCTCGACTTACACGAGAATGTTGAATTCTGACGCGATGCGAGCTTTGGATTCCTACCGACAAGAAAGACTTTTGACTCACTTTGAGAAGAGGAGTGACTTTCTGAAGCTGGATGCGCCTGGCTGAAACGAGACGGTCTCTACAGCGGATTCTCACTCCTTTCCTCCGTCTCACCTGCAGGCATTCATTCTCCGTCGTGAAGGCCACTCACTACGCACTTAGCTCATGAAATGCCTAAATAATGAGCCCCCCAGGCCACGATCCATTCCTATTCGGCATTTATCAAGGAAACAAACCAGTTTCTCTGAACGAGAGGATGATTTGTGGAGACATTAGACCGTCGGCCTTGCTTCGCAACTGTCACCCGACAGCGGGAGAGCTATTTGACCTAAAGGGTAGAAGGACATTTTATGGGATCTCCGAGAAAGGGAAGAGAAGGGTTCTTTCACATCTCTAAAATGCAAACTGATCGGTTCCTAATTTTTCTTCGCTTTCCTAGTCAAGGCCATCACAGACAAGGTAGGAGAGGTGCTCAATGACGATCCAATGACTCTGGGGATGGGTTCTTAACCATAAAAG